AAAAAAAAAAAAAATCAGGGGCAGTCTGCGTTCTGAACTTTCCACCTACAGTTGATCTTGAATCTTTAGTCCAGAGTTTTTATTTATCTTGATGTCATTATCTATATATGTTATACTAGCTTGAATTTGTGATTTTAGAACTACTTGTTTTGAAACTGGTGCAAGTTGCTCGCTTGTTCAATTTACACTCATCCTTTTTCCATCAGAAAAAATCAAGCCTGCTGATGTTGGTCTTGAGCAAGAGGCACAACTAGTAAAGAATTGGAAAGGTTCCCTCAGTGAACACAATGGCAGTAATCGTTCGTTTCCCACAATCAAATACCTTCATGTGCATGAGTGTGATGGCTTCTCTGTAAGTGTATTCCTAATGCTGTGCGAGATTTTTTTTTTTTTTTTTTTTCTTTCCCTCGTTCTGTTGGTGGAGTTCAAGTTCTATATAATTTGAATGAACAACCAAAACATTGATGATGTGTATAAATGCATATTTAAGATTTTTGGAACACCTTGGGCCATGTGTTGTGGATGAAAGTGACAATCTTCTTTCCACAGATGGGAATATTTTGTATGCCACCTTCCTCTATCATTCCTCTTCATAATCATCCTGGGATGACGGTGCTGAGTAAGCTGTTGTATGGTTCATTGCATGTAAAATCCTATGATTGGATCAATGCACCTGGGACTTCCGATCCATCTCAAGGTTGATTATTTTTAGGCGCATGCCCATTTTCTTTTTGCTGCTTTGATGCTGGTTTTCTGTGTTTCCTGTAGGAATTCTCAATGAATATTTATTTTGATGAGATTATATATTTGGAGTATATTTGTTTTAACAAACTGGAAGGAGGAATTCTGATTGATAATTGTATGAACTCGGCTTTTCTTTTAAATTCAGACCACATCTTCCGTTTTTGTTCTGGCTGCGTTGTGCACACTACGTAGTGGGAATCCTGGTGTATTTAATTTATACTTAAGACTTTTGAAAGTCTTGGGGTGTTTATTTGGGATTTTAAAAAGTCTTACAAAATATTGAGGTATATAACTTATTTGAGACTAGGATCTGTTAAGACTTTTCAAGATTTCCTAATAAAAATAAACCTTAAACAAAATCCCACCTCCACACTTACGATTTCACACGATTCCTCCAAAATCTAAAAATTTTGAAAAGTCTCAAGTCTCAAAATATCACTCGAAATCTCCAACGAATACAAGAGTCTATTTCACACATTTGGTAAACTGAAATTATAGAGTATCTTGATCATTATCAGGAGCCAGGCCTGCAAAAGTTGTGCGGGACTGTGAAATGAAAGCCCCATGCGACACAACGATTCTATACCCAACGAGTGGAGGAAACATTCACTGTTTCAAGGCTATAACTCCGTGCGCCATCTTCGACATCCTTTCTCCGCCTTATTCTTCTGAGGATGGACGGCATTGCACCTATTTTAGAAGATCCCCAGCAGATCTACCTGGTAAAACAAGCTTCTTTTTTATTTTTCAAATCTTTCTTTTTTCTTTTTCATCGAGAAGGAAAGGGAGGTTAATTTCTACAATACCCTTTTCTCTTTAACTTAGGTACTATTGAAGTGGACGGAGTAACAATATCCGAAATTACTTGGTTAGAAGAGTTTCAGCCTCCGGATGACTTTGTGATAAGGAGGGGACAATACAAGGGACGTGTCCTTAAAACATAAAGATGATTTTTGGTATTATAATGTTTACATCTCATTGGCACTGTAGACTGTTGGAAGTTATTTGCTGCTATTTTAAAGCATGTCTCAAGTGTTACAGAATTAGACATTTGAGTTGTACATAATTGAGGTATAATATGTTATTTCATTGGCCAGACCACCTTCCCTATTTGCTGGAAATGTTGGTTTTACGAGTTGTTTTTATCGAACTGTTGCCACATCATATAATAGATCACAGTTGATTGGTGCAGGATGACCATCCACCTACCGAAACTACAGCTTTACAACCGATTTTCGGCGCCATTATCCGACTCTGAGCTCTAGTTTGGTCAAAGATTCATTTAAATGTATTGCAATCAGATGGATTTAATGGCTTTTAGATTGCTTGTGCATGTGGTTTGGTTTACTTTGTGTTTCATTTTTCTTATTCCCCCATCCCATTTTCTATGTAAAATAAAAATACACCTTAGTTTGGGTGTAACTTATTTGTTAGAACTATATATCTGGTGCACGAGTAAATAATATTAAAATTGTCATTATAAATAAAATGTTGGGTAACTTGTTATTAGTTTTAAGATAAAGTTACTTTGTCATCATGAAAATTGAGAACCATCATTATGAAAACTGGGAAGGAGTTTAATTTCGATGTAAAACTCTCAACTTCATTACCATGGATAATTAAAAATACTTAAATATATGCTATTTTTCAAAAACAAAAGTTCAAAACACTAAAAATACTATATTTTAGAAAGCATCTATAATTTTGTATGCATTTTTTCTTGAAGAAACACTTATTATTTACACTATATTTTAAAATACAGTATTGGTGAATTTCTTTTACACCTCAATATATATATGCACTTTTTATTTACAGTCCATTTAAAAAATTCTTTTGCACTCCAATACTCACGAATTATATGTGATATAAACATCGCATATCCAAATAAACCGCATAATTAACAATTACGCGAGATTTTATCGTATATGTACTAACGCATATCCAAATTCGACGCATAGTTAACATTTATAGAAACACATTCGCATATTTAATTATGGCATATCCAAATCTACAGCATAAGTTTTGCTATGCAAATTTATTTCGTATATATAATTATCGCATATCCACAATGATAGTCGCATATTTACGATTATACGACAAGTCTTTACATATTTTATGTCTCGTATATCAAAACTGGATGCATAGTGAACAAGTATGCGAAACACATACACATATTATGCAATCGTGTATCCACATCGAATGTCTCGTATTTTGTGATTATGCAAAAGTTTACGACTCGCATATCCAAATTCACCATATAATTTGTCATATGCACGAACATTTAGCATATTCTGTTATCGCATATCCGAATCAAACATAGTATATTTTATGTTATGCGACATATTTTTGTATAGTTCATAATATCGTTGTATAGTTCATAATATCGCATCCAAATCTACTGCATAATTTGCCATAAGCGAAAAAATTTTGCAAAATTTTTTTTATCGCATATCCAAATCGAAAGTCGCACATTTAAGATTTTGCGACATATTTTTGCATAGTTTACGACTCGCATATCAATATCCACCGCATAATTTACTATATGCGAGAATTTTTTGTAGAGCCCCATTCGTTTTAGACGAGTCAGCATATTATCGCCTCGCTTTTATTTAATTGTATTGCTCGACAAATCTATTGGTTAAACATATTATGATTATTTAGATGTTCTCGTCTATTTAATCTAATAAGTTAATAATTTTTGTAGATGTCATCTTCAACTTAAATTATTTTCAGTTTTATTATTTTAGTCAATCGTTGATAGATCGAAATTTTTCGGTAAGATCTCGTTTTATTCTCTTAATCCTTTTCAAGTAAACCTTGAACTTTGTACTCGACCCATTTTTCTAAAATTTTGGGCCATTTTACATCAATAATCCGGCCCTCTTGGTTGGAATGTTTTTGGCCCAAATGCTTTCAAAAATCAGCCCCATTTTGTTGAAATTCCGACCCTCACTTGTGATCTTTTGGCAACTTGTAGAAAATTCAAATTTCAAATGCTTTAGAGCTCATCTATTAATATATAAAGAGGGAATGATATTTACCTGAAATAGTAAGAAAAAATCAGCAAAAAAACATCTCAATTCCCGCCTAAATAACTAGTACGAATCTCGTGCGATGCACGGGTAAGATATATTCATTATTATTTGTGAATTAAAAATGCTCATTAAATAATATTTACGAATAAAAAATATGAAATCAATATGTAATACAATTTACTTTTATTAATTTTGTAAATGTCACATGTAATTAAATTGTGCAAAATCACAAAAACTTGTCGATTTAAAAATAATACACAACTCTACGGTACACATAACGAATAATAAATTACATTATATTTATTCCAAAATAAGTGTCATTTTCGAATTTTTATTCAAAAACTTGATTTGAATACAATGCGGTTCCTTAAACAATTATTTTGATAAAATTTTATTATATGTTTACAAATCTATGTGAGTAATAAATATAATATTAAAATTTATATTTTTTCATAAATTAAAATGAATTTATTTTTGTATAAACTATCTAAATCAAAAAAAATTTAATTAGTTAAGTAACTTATTAAACTATAAATATTGATTTTTCTATTTACGTTCAAGTTAATATTGACTCGTAAATTATGAATAAATACTTATTTGCACTTTAAATTTAGTACCCAAACGTAGACTACCCAATAAATCCCTTTATATATTTTATTATATTTGTATTTTACTAATTTAAATTTTTTTAGATTTGTTGTCTGTCCTTCAAATTTATCTACTAATTCTTTATAATTAAATTCAAAATTTTATAATAACAAATATTTGTTCAAAGATCTTTCTAACTGCCAAGAGAATAAATACCAATTTGCTGAAGTATCATCAATATCATATGGTAAGTTATTATGAAAATAAATTTTGATGGTCATTATGGCAAGTTAAAAACTCCTATAAAAATAATGACGTTGAAAAAGAAAATATGAAAGAAACTCCCACAACAATAAGTCCTTGAAAAATGACCGCTATAATTATTACATTCCAATAAAAATTCCAAGAAAATTTAATTGTAACAGATCATTTTGTGTTGATATCAATTGCAATTAATATCGACAAAAGCTATATATATATATATATATACATATAGGGATGCACTCCGGTGTAAAAGGTACTTAGTGAAAGAAATAAGAATACATCTTGACCATTGAATACGGTCATCAAACGGATTAGAAAAATTCAGCACTTATACATTAGGAAGGATATTTTAGACATTTATCATATAAATAATTCAACAAATCAGTTAGCCCCACCTCCAATTAAAACACCAGCCTTCTCTTTCTGTCTCTGTTTCTCCCCCTCTCACCCACACCAATCAATCAAACTACCAACTCATTTTTCTCTCTCATTAAAACACACACACACACACACACACACACACACACACACACACACACAC